GAGTTTCACTCTGTCTCACAGGCTGGAGTGCAGTGGCACAATCTTGGCTCACGGCAACTCCACCTCCTAGGTTCAAGCAATTCTCCTGCTTCAGCCTGCCTAGTAGCTGGAATTACAGGTGCTTGCCACCACGCCTAGTTAATTTTTATATTTTTAAGTAGAGACAGGGTGTCACCATGTTGGCCAGGCTGGTCTGAAACTACTGACCTCAAGTGATCTGCCTGCATCGTCTCCCAAAGTGCTGGGATTATAGGGATGAGCCACCCAGCTTACATAGGTATTTTTTTTAAACCATTTTATTTCTTGTGTACATATGTTACAAATGTTTCCTTAGATTTGTCCCAAAATATTCAAGGGTTAAAATTTTACTAATTGTTCTCAATTTATTAAAATATACCTGATGTTTGTATGTTATACTTTAGTAGCTTTGATAAATCCATATATTCTAACAGTTTGTCTATATTGTGAATATGGCTCTGTGTGTGTGTGTTTGTGTTTGTGTGTGTGTTTATGCACAAATGACATATATTTCTACATACAGATTGGTATTTTTGGCTTTTACACAATCAAGTTTTTAGCAAATAATGACAGATTTATTTCTTCCTCCTAGTAATTACTTTTCTTGACATGCATAAGACCTTCCATACGATGTTGGATAGAAATTGTGATAACGAGCATTTTTTTCTACATCCTGCTTTTAGGGTCAACCTTTTTCATATTTTATGAGTGTTTGCCAACTTTTGTTAGTTTTAAGGTTGGTACCCTTTATCATTTTAAGGAAATGTTTCTTATGAATAGACTTGGAAGTTTATCAGATTATTTTCTATATTTATTGGTGTAATCATATCATTTTTCTTATTTATTATTATTTTTTTTTGAGATGGAGTCTTGCTCTGTTGTCCAGGCTGGAGTGTAGTGGCGTGATCTTGGCTGACTGCAACCTCCACCTCCTGGGTTCAAGCGATTCTCCTGCCTCAGCCTCTCAGTAGACAGGATTATAGGCATGCACCACCACACCTGGCTAATTTTTGTATTTTTTTAAGTAGAGACAGGGTTCCACCATGTTGGCCAGGCTGGTCTAGAACTCCTGACCTTGTGATCCGCCCACCTCGACCTCCCAAACTGCTGCAATTGTAGGCATGAGTGATCTCGCCTGGCCTAATCACATAATTTTTCTTCCGTGTAGTACTAATTTGGTGGGTGATATTTTTTCTTTGCCAAATTTTGCATTCCTAAGTTGACATAATATAAAGGATATATTATGATCATTTTTGGGGTAAGTTGTGAATCAGTTTACTAATATCTTGTTAATCAGAGGTTCAAATATTACGTTAATAAGAAAATGTAGAGATTATTGGTCTTCTTTTAAAAAATAATGGCATTTTTCTTTTAGCACAAGCCCACCATACTGTTGTGTGGATCTGTATTCACTTCGTACTGGGGAGATGGTCAAGTCCATTCAGTTTAAGACACCTATTTATGATCTTCACTGCAATAAACGGTAAGGATTTTTTCATATGTTTCTCGTATAAAATAAGAAACATGCTCTCCTTGGCATGGAGAACTCTACCAATTTCAATGACTAACTTAGATTTATTTTTAAAAATCTCAAGGAAACACCTTCTGAATTCTGTTCAGTGGAATAGCACTACAATTTCTTGATGATTGTATTCAGACTTGTAGTCTTGATCCATTAGGGAACTGTGAATTCAGTTTAGTGAGTTACAATTAGCATTTGTAAAACAAAATGGAAATAAATAGAAAGTATCAGAGCAAACTTAAAACAGTTAAGTATTGTTTTGAGAAATCTTTTAATACAGCTTTTTTTTTTTTTTTTTTTTTTTTTTTTTTTTTTTTTTTTTTTTTTTTTTTTTTTTTTTTTTTTTT